GGCCAGTCTGCTCACCTGCTGGTCTGTCTTCATGGCCCCGAGTGCTCGCCCTGACCATAAGCCGACCCAGCCCTGGGACGCCCCAGCCGTGGCCCCCCGACTTCGGGTTCCCTGGGCCCCCGCCCCAGCTTTCCGCTCCCGCCCTCTGTCGCCTTCGCGGGGCTGTCCCCTTCCCCCGCTGGACGCCACCTTCCCTTCCTGGCCGCGGGGCCTTAGATGGAGACGAGAGGGAGCACGCGGCGGCCCGGTGTGTCACTGGCCCCGGCGCCGCCGCGCGGGCCCGCGTTCAGAGCCCGGGTGCGGCTGCAGCCCTCGAGCCCGGCAGCAGTTTAACCCCGTCGAGGTCCGGCACCACCTCCCAGGCCCGCTCGGCCTTCGGTGTCCCCTCCTCCGCCCCAAATGGTGGGGAAGGAGCCCACCGCTGATCACTTCACCTAGGCGCTGGGAGGTGCTTTGCTTCGTGTTGGGGAGCCTGGGAAAGGGAACCCCGAGAAGGTGCGCCAGGCTGGGAGTGGAGGAAGCTGGAGGAGGAGCCCGCAGGCCTGGATGTGGTAAGAGACGGATCTGACAGCCGTCTGAGAAACTCCTGGCCCGTCCCAAGCACCGGTTGCAATGACCTGCCCCGCCTGACTCTGGGGCCTCGGCCTTGGAGACCCCCTCACCTGACTCCCGGGACAGTGGGAGCAGCGGAGGCCTGCAGGAGGAGGCTTGCCCAGACCACTGGGCAAAAGGACCCGAGAATCCACTTACCCCCCCTCCCCTTTTACTTTCATTGTTACCGTCCCAGCGGGAAGCGGGAAGCCGGAGGAAATCAGCTCCGCCCCCTGCCACGCGGAGCTAGACTGCAGGGCAGAGGTCAGGTTTCGGCCAGGCCCTCAGACCCCACCTCCAAATGCAAGGAGGACGGGCAGGGCCGGGCCTGGGTGGGCAAATCTACCCCGCACGACCCAGGCCAACCCGGCAACATCTGGGAGAACCTCAGTCCTCCCGCCGCCCCCAGCCCCACAAAGAAGAAAAGCACAAAGGAAAAAAGTCCACTTTACTGAGTCACACCCAGCTGTAAACATTTCACCGTGGGAGCCCCACCCCAAACCCCAGGCCACAAAGTCCCCAATGAAATGACATGGGAAGGGTCACCCAGGTTGGTGCCAAGCAGGTCAGCGGGCAGGCAAGTGCAGCAGCCCACGTCCCCCGAGGAAGCTTTGGGAGGGTGGTGGGTTCAGGGCAGCCCAGGGGACGCAGCTCCCAGGACCCTGAGCAGGGCTTCGAAGGACGATGGTGGCGTAGGACGGTGGCGTAGGAAGCTGTCCCGACGGGGCTCCAGCCCTTCTGCCCTGCCCCTCGGGCCTCATCTCCTGCTCCAGCAAGGGCTGCCCAAAGTGCCCCTGTCCCAGCCCCTGAGGGCCTGCCCAGCCCAGTTCAGTTTCCTGTTCCCGTGAGCCTTCAGCTCAGGTCGGGGCCTCAGGGGCAAGTGAGACCCTCAGAGTCCAGCCTTGGGTCTGGGCAGCTCCTTAGGGGGCAACACGGGGCTCCTTCCCTGGGGCATGGGTCCCCCCGTGGCTGTCCCACTGGAATGTGGCAGTGAGATGGGCAAGAAGGGGGCTCATTCTCTGGTCAGCCCAGGCCTCCTGCTGCCCCGGCTTTGGCCCCCGGCTACACCGCTGTCTCCTGGTCCTCGCGCTGGATCATCTGGTAGTGCTGCCGGTTCTCCAGGTAGGCGGCCAGCTCCGTGTCCTGAGCCTTCTCAGCCCGCTGCCGGGGAGTATCACCCTGGAACAGGGAGGCGCAGGGATCAGCTTAGAGGCTGGGCTGCCATGGGCAAGGGCGGGCCTCGCTGGCCTGGACAGCCCCACCCCTGCCGGCTCAGGTTTCTCAGGGCCTGGACTGTTTCTGTAGGACAGCTTTAACCCCAGCGGGGCCCTTCCTACAGGAAACCCAGGTGGGAAGGGCTGGTTTGTGTCTGCAAGGACGCCTTGCCCGCCAGGCCAGTCTGCTCACCTGCTGGTCTGTCTTCATGAGCGAGGCCCCTGCCTCCACGATGTAGTGGCAGATAGTACGCTGGCCCAGGGCTGCTGCCTGGTGCAGGCAGGTCTCCCCGCTGGAGGAACAGGAATGGCTGTGGGCCCCAGCCAGTCCTCGGGCTGACCCCCTCCTCCCCCACTGGAAAGGGCAGGAAGTCTGGGGCCCTGGGGCAAGAGGGGTGGCCCAGAGGTTGACAGACCCAGGAAGGGTCTATGGGATGTGACCAGACCAGTGAGAGGGGCCAAATGAAGACAGGCGGTTTCCGGGATAACTAGGGCTCCACAAAGCCCAGTTACTCACTTTTCCTCGACAGCATCAAGGATGTCTGAGGGCGCTGGAGGAGAGGGGAGGGGAGGTCAGAGGTGGGCAGCCTCCCCTCCTCCCACCTGGCCCCGCGGGGCTCTGGGGCCCCGGCTCACCGTGGTCCAGCAGGTAGCGGACCACCTCCTTGCTGCCGGCGCCCACAGCATGGTGCAGAAGAGTGCGGCCCTGTCCATCCCGGTGCGTGAGGTCCCCCCCGGCTCGGTGCAGCTCCTGGAGCTGAGGGTAGCAGGCAGAGCAAGGCTGGGGGTCCACAGGGTCGCCCTCCTTCCAGGCGCAGACATGCCCCCCAACTCACAACACAGGCCCAAGGCCTAGTAGCAGTCTGCCCCCACACTGTCCCCTAAGGGCCTGTGGAGGCCACTCTGGCGGTCAGGGGACGATGGGTCTCTCCCAGCCCGGGGCCCCTGCCAGCCCAGCCCTGGGGCCTGTGGTTCCTCTAAGACTTCACCTTTCTGAATACTGGGGACAGGCAGAGCGAGCCAGGAAGCTCCCACAAAAGGACCGATTGTGGGCTGGGCAGGGACAGGGCAAGGCAGAACAGGACAGTCGCCAGGAGATCCGCAGGAGCAGATGCCGCTCCCCAAGTGACCAGCTCTCAGCGCACCCCAGAGGCTGTCCCCAGTGTCTGGGGCTGGCTGCAGGAAGAGGCTGGGAGCCCCGGCGCTAGTACCAGACAGAAGTCTCTAGTACCTTACAGAAGTCGTTCCTCTTGGCAGCCTCAATCAGCTCGTCACCTGCACAGAACACCTGCCCGTTACTCTCCCTGGGGCTGTGCATGGGCAGGTGCAGGGCCGCGCCACGCACCAGTGCTGCCGGGGCTGCGGGCAGTGTCCCAGGGTCTGGTCTGGTGACTGGGCCGCCGGTGGGGGACTTTGACTGTTGGGCTACCCCCGCCTCCCCAACCTCACTCCTAGGACCAGGGTGAAAAGGAAGGGCCCTGCAGGGAGAGGCCTCACCTTTAGGGGGCGCTGCATCCCCTGGCAGTGACCTGCAAACAGAGCAGGATGAGATGGTGCGACGCAGCTACAGCACAGGCCCAACTGTCCCCTCCCGGCCCCAACAGGGCGGCCTCGGTTCTTTCAACAGTTTATTGAGTGCCTGCGACACCCCCAGTGCTGTCTGAGGCACCGGCCGTACAGCAGTGAGCGGGACAGGTGAGGACTTGCCCTCATGGAGCTTACATTCTAGTCAGGGAGACAGCGAACAAATAAATAAGGTGTTTCCAGAATGGGTGGGACGAGGACGGGCCCCGGAAGCCTGCCCCGCGGAGGAGACGCCCAGGCTGAGGTCTGAACGCGCGTGGGGGCTCTGTGGAGACGGGAAGAGTGCTCAGGCAGCAGGGCCAAGCCGAAGGCTGGCGAGTCTGAGGACCAAGGCCTTGGAGAACCAAGGCCGAGCGGGGCTGGGGGGCGCGGGAGGGGAGGGGGTGCGTCTGGGCCACGGCCGCGGACAGGCCCTGCGGTGTGTGACACAGCGGCAGTAGGTCCAGGTGGGGTGAGTGCTGGCGTACACTGTGTGGGGCTGGGTGTGGGGGGGTGCTCAGATGTTGGGGGGAAGCTGACAAGACCTGCTGAAGGCGGAGGCCAGGGGTGGGAGCGGAGAAGTCATGGCGAAGCCCAGGCCTCCAGCAGAAGAGTGCTTAGGGGGCAGCTGGGCTGAGGGCCGGCCGGCCTGGCTGGCGGGGCTTGACCACGTTCAGTTTGCTGCCAGAGAGTCCGCGGGGCAGAGGCCAGGGCACCCAGCAGGCAGCTCACGGGACAAGGGTGTCTGGCACTCAGGTTAGTGGCTGGCACTGGAGGAGATCCAGGAGCTATGGCGGTCAGGTGGGGGCTGGAGGGCACGAGGGACTCACCGGGGCGGGGGGGAGCGGGGGGGGGGGGGGGGGGGGGGGGGGTGGGGAGGTCAGGCCGGGCCGATGCCCCCAGCAGCTCTGGGTCCAGGATGTAGATCTCGTCCTGGGCAATCTCAGTCACATAGTTGAGGTGCTCCTGAGGGTGGGAAGGCAGGGCCCGGTGTCAGGGCCTCGAGGGGCAGCCCGTGGCGGGGTGGGGTGCGGGGCCGCAGACGTGGAGAAGGTTGTGCCACGAGCCCGCACGCCGACACGGGCAGCCAGGTGAGTGGCCCCACCAGCCCCTTCTTCCCGCTTATCTCCTCCCTCTGGCTGCCCCAAGCCCAGCCTCCGCCTTGCAGGTTGTGCCCACTGGCTTGCCGGCTTCTCCCCAGGGTGCTGGGCCACTGGCCACTGCCTCCCTGGGTGGCACCCGGGCTCCACAAGCCCCCACCCCCGCAGCCCCCAGCAGCCTTTCTGGGATACGCTGGCTCCCTTTTCCTGTTGGCACCCGCTGGAGGACTCCAGCCCAGAGGACGGGCCTCCCCCAGGGACAGCGAGAGTGTGAGCGCGCTAGAGGATCTGAGGACAGGGAGCCTGGGGCTAACGGGGGTGGCTCCCCAGAGGACCCCGGGGCCAGCCCCGGCTGGAGCGGGTCTGCAGAGCTCACCTGGGCCCGGTCGATCCTGTAGAAGCGGCTGGCAGTGGTGGCTGTGGGGAGACAGTGAGCTGGCTGAGGAGGAGGGGAGGGAGGCCCTTGTCCGGGCCCAGGTCACCGGCAGGCCCAACGGGGAGGGGTGGGTCTCGGCCGGGACTAGCGCAAGCTTAGGGCCACTCACCGTCCAGGAAGCACCACTTAGGGGACAGTTTCTGGCACGTTGGGGACTTGGCCGCAGCACCTTCCGGCTCCTAAGGCAAAAAGCAGAGGCTGGGAGGGACAGAGCCTGGGCTGGGGGGCAGCGGGGCTGCCTGGGTGGGGGGCGGGGCAGCGGGGGCGCCTGGCCTGCAGCCTCACCTGCTGGAGCCTCTCGATGTGGGTTCGGCAGTGCTCCAGGTCGCTGTCTCCAGGGACCACCACGGTGCCCAGTGGCACAGCTGGAGGGCAGGGCAGGCTCTCAGCACCCGGCGGCGCCTGCCCGCCCCGGGGAGCGCCGCGGCCTCTGCACCGCCCGCCCCGGCGCCCGCGCCCACTCACAGGCCTCCTTGAGCTGCTCCTTGTCGTAGTGCAGGGCCTCGTAGTCCTGCATGCTGACCCTGCTCACCTGGATCCGCAGCTGCTCGGGCACGGGCTGCTGGCTGTGGGCGGGGCACGGAGCTCAGACGGGTGCCCAGGGCCAGGCTGCGAGTGGGGGGCGCAGAGGGCTTCCCGAGGGGGCGGGGCCCGCCGCGGGCGCCGAACGTACTCGCTGTGCAGGGGCGCGGCGCTGCGCCGCTTGGCCTTCTGCACCATGGTGGCCTGGTTGCGCAGGGCGATGCGGATGCGGGAGGCGGCCAGCTTGCAGGGCTCGCCGTCCACCTGCACCGGGATGGCCTTGGACGTGGTGAGCACCACCTCGCGGCACTGCGTCAGCCGCTCCCCGTGCCCGCCCACCTGCAGCGCTGCCTGCGGGCGCAGAAGGTGCAGGTCAGTGGCCAGGGCCAGGGGGCGGGCCCCAAACCCTGCTCCCTCCTGAGGTGCTCTGGCCGGAGGACAAAGCGAGAGGGGCCACCAGAAGGACAGCAGAGGGTGTGTGATCCCCTTGTCCGAGGGGGCTGACGAAGGGGTCCCGGGATACACAGGGGAAGTGGAGGTGCTCTTAATCGTAGTGGGCAGGAGACGGTAAGCTCTGGGCCAGGGTGCCAGAGTGGATTCCGGGTGAATCCTCCCATCCTGCCCAGCCGAGAGAATTGTGGGTGACTCCCCGTGCTGTGTAGGATGGGCCACGTGCTGGCTCACTCACCAGGGACGTCATGGTGAAGCCAATGACCTCGAGGTAGCCGTCGTCATGTCGCTGGGGCTCAAAGTCGTGGTGCTCGCCGGGGTGGCCCCAGGGCATGGTCCCCGCACAGTACCTGGGGACGGAAGGGGGGGTAGGGGGAGGCAGGCTTCAGAGGAGACAGCCGACCCCCCCTTCCCCCGCCCCCCAGAAACCACCGCTCCTCACCTGGGGATGTTCAGGAAAACGATGCACTGGGGTTTCAAGTCCTGAATCTTGGGGGTCAGGTCCATCCCGTCACACTGGAGGCAGGGACAGGGGAGAGCATTGGGGTCTCTTGCCGAAGCGGGTCTCTCCGCGGGGCCTGCCCTCTCGGTGTGGCCCCACTCACCACCACGCGGATGTGCTTGGCCAAGTCCTTGGAGCTGCCCGTCAGGAAGTCAGAGAAGGCTGTCTGTGAGAGAGGGGACGTCACCACCGATGGGCAGGGGTCTCGTGGCCTGCCACACAGAGCGGGGGGCGGGGCAGGCAGACCCTAGGCTCACCCCGGCGTAGAACATCTTGTTCCGAAAGCGGCTGTTGAATTTCTCTGGGTTGGCCTCTGGGTGGTGACAAGAAACGCGACAGTCACTCTGGGGTCTGCTGGGGCCCCCCCAGGCAGGCAGGGCGGGTTGGGGAGGAAGGCCTTTCACTGGGTGGGGCAAAGCTGACCCTCTGGGGAACACGCTACGGCCCTCCCCGGCCTCCCAAGGGCTCCCCAGAAAAAGGCTGCCAACCTCGTGACTCGTGAAACTCCAGGGTGACGTGGGCGTCAAAGCCCAGGCTGAAGTAGTTGTTGAAGACGTCCAGGGGCAGCTGCAAAAGGCCCAGGGCCGGCGTGAGGCCTGCTCCTCGGACGTCCCCTGCTCTAGGCCGCCCGTCCCAGGCCTCGCAGCCGCCCAGCCCTCGTCTTCAGGGCCTTTCCCACAGGGGGAGCCGGCTCCTCCCCCAGCTGCCCTGGCCTGTCAGGTCCTGGCCTGTGCTGGAGGCTCTGCTAGGTGCCTGGACACCCCTCGCCTGGCCTTAATGCCCCACGCCACTCCCCCGCGCCCCGCACTCTGTTCGCTGCAGAGTCTGGGCGCCACGGGCTCCTGCTTAGACTGTGCCCGCAGGTGTCTGGTGCAGAGCGGCCGAGCGATGGCGCCCCTGGGGGGTGAGTACTGCTGTCCCTGCCCCCAGGCGCCTCGGCCCAAGTCTGGAGAAGTGAAGGGAGCGGCCCCAGGCCCCAGAGCCAGCTGAGTGGGAAGCAGGCCCAGCCCATCTCCTGAGGATCCCAGACGAGAGGCCCCCTAAGCCCGTGGCCCCCGCCCCAGCTGACGCACCCGGTCCGTGGCGCCTTCATCTCGCTCCTCAAGCCCCGCCTCAGGGTTGGGCTCGGCGCGGAGGTCCCAGCGGTCCAGCTGCACGACGTTGCCCTCCTCCACGTGGGAGAGGATCTTGGACACGGGCTCATCGGTGTAGCCCTGGCGGAGAGGCGGGGGCTGAGCTCCTCCTGGGCAGAGGCCCTCCCGCACCCCCGCTGCAGCCCGCTTGGGCTCTTACCCCTCCCCAGTTGAGGGTGCGGGCCAGGTCATTGCCAGTGCCCAGGGGCAGGATGGCCACCGGGGGCGGTGGTTTTAAGCGCAGCTGGTCCAGGGTGGAGAGGATCCAGCCAACCTGGGAGCAGAGGGGGAGAGGCAGGTGAGGCAGCGGGCCGGGCCGGGCGGGCCCAGGCGGGGGGGAGGGGGGGGACGGGGCAGGGGGTCTCCTGGACGCACTGTGCCGTCGCCCCCACATGCCAGGATCCGCAGGTTGTGCACTTTGCGGTACATCTCCAGCCTGGGGTCAGAAGACAGGAAAGGTTTGGGGGGTGGGTACTGTACCCGGAGTGCCCGGTAAGCCGCTCCATGCCCCCCAGAGCCCTGGCAAACACTTACGCCTCCTTGGGCCCTCCCTGGCTCAGATCAAAGACTTGTCGGGGATTGAGATACCACAGGAAGGACTGGATGATCTTAGCGCCCTGAGGGGAGCCAAGGGGGAGAGCTCAGGGATGGGGAGCGAGGTGGGAGAAAGGCAGAAGGTGGGGCGAGGATGTGGCTGTGGGAACCAGGCCCAGTGAGGGTGAAGGGCAGTGACGGGAGGGGATTTGCACAGGAGCCCTGGGGAGGCGGGTGGAGTGAAGCCTGAAACAGGCTTGGACACAGTTGCGGGGCTCAGTGGAGGGGAGGCTGGGCATACCTGGTTGCCCCCACTCTTGGGGTTCACAAACACCAGCAGGGGCTTCATGAGGGGGGACGGGGTGGGCCTGATGATGAAGGGTCTCCAGCGGCCCTCCTTGGAGACACAGAGTGCCTGTAAGACTCCATTCTGTCCTGGAGGGCCCTGCCCGTCCTCAGTGGGGTGCTGGCGGCACTCCTGTGCCCCCTCCGGCCGACCTCCCATCTGGCCTCCCCTCAGGGTCACAGCCCAGGCTGACCCCCGAAGGGTGACGCCGCAGCATCAGCCCGGGGGCTCGGTACTCCAACAGCCCTCCCTCTGCGCCCCCCCCAGCAGCCGGCCCAGCCCCAGACCTAACCTCAGGCCCTTTCTTGCTAGATTTCCTCTTGAAGGACGCTCTCTTTTTCTTCTTGCTCGCCTTGAGGGTATTCTGCCAGGGAAGCAGGGGTGTTACTGGTGACAGAGGTGCGCAGGCTTTGGGGGGGGCGTGGCTGCCAGACCCCCAGTGGGTGGGGGCATCAAGGGTGCCGGCAGGACTCACCTGGGGCCTGCGGGCACGGAGGATCCAGGTTGGCGGGATGACCACTGCGGCGTGGACCCCCAGGGAGCATGGCTCCTCGATCTGCTGCAGCATGAAGCAGGACACCTTGCTGTGGTACTGGGGAGAGGGAGGGTGCTCTGAGCTGGGCCCGCCGGGACGGGCCCCCAGCGTGGCGCGGCAGCGAGGACAGCCTGCAGGGCGGTGCACTCACGGCTTGCTTGCACCAGGAGCAGCTGATGGCCACGATCTCCTTGCTGTGGAAGGTGAACTTCTGCTGGAAGCCCTGGGGGCACAGGGAGGCTGCAGCACCCAGGGCCAGGCCCCCTCCTGCTGCCCACCTCTCTCCGTCCACAGGCATGGAGCACATTTTTAAAAACAAGACACCTCTAAAATAAGCCCCCGGAGCCAGGAGGCCTACCAGTCTGGGGCCGACTCTGCGGTTGATGGTGCAGCACCGGGTGGTGCTCAAGCCCGCTCTGCTCACTCGTGACTCACAGTCCCCCCTTCCCGACCTCACACTGGCTGCCCCCCCCAAGTCCTTTCTGCTGCTTTCTAGCGCCTGCCACACCCACACCCACTTCCTGTGTACACGGCCTGAGGAACTACTGGGTGCCAGGCAGTGTGCGAGGCGCCGGAATGAGAACAGAAAAAGCAACAGGCCCTTGGCCGTTCAGTGCTCACACTTCGCAGAACGCAACCATGGTGGCCGCCCTCCAGGACAGGACCCTGCCCAGTGGGTGCCCTGGCTCAGACAGCAAGGATTGGTCTCTAGGACCCTCAGAGGGCTCCCTGGCACTGCAGGGCCGTCCAGAAACTCTCCTCCCTCTCAGCCGGAGCTGGCGGGGCACCCTGGTGGCAGAGCTCGCCCCGGCGACTCTGCTCTCCGGGGGTGCATTCAGTGAGCCACATGGCCACCAGGGGGGTGGCGCTGGCGGGCAGCGGAGTCTCACCTTCCCACAGTGCCGACACTTGCCATCCTGGCGCCGTCTGTGCACCCAGTGGTGCCGCACGAAGGTTGGCTGGCGGCAGAGGAGAGAAGTATCAGAGGAGTGAGCGAGGGGTCGGGCGGGGGGCACCAGCCCTGAGCCCTGCACCTCTCAATATATCAACTGTGAAGGGTGGGGCCGTGGGAGGATCTCTGCAGCCTGAGGCAGAGGTGAGAAGGGTCTGACCACCTCTCTGTGCTCCGAGAGGAGCTAAGCTCAGCGGGGACAGAGAGAGCTGGGAGCCGCGGCCCAGGCCGGCTGCACCTGCCTCAGCCCTGCGCTCCAGGGCAGCCTGGAGCCCCCTGGTGGCCTTCTGGAGACACTGCAGGAGAGGCCACTTGGGAAACCCGGCCAGGGCCCAAGCACCGGGCAAGTACCTCGCGCACGTTCCTGGAGCCCGATTCCCGGAAGGACGGCTTACAGCGGAAGTTAATCTGTGAAACAGGGCAATGACCACCCAAACATCAGTCTCTCTTCAGGGTCAGGCACATGGCCACCCTGCGGGACGCACCCTGTGCGTCATTCAGACGCACCCTCACAAGGTGGGAGTCAGCGCCAGCCCGCCCCAGGAGCCCTCCCGCAGCCCTGCCTCCCGCGCACTCTCCCAGGGGATCTTTCTCTGCGTGATCCTGGGGGGGGGGGCGTAGAGACCTCGAGCCTGGCACCCATTTCCCCCAAAGGAATGGCAGCGCAGTTTATTCATCCTCTTTCCCCTCAGCCCGCGGCAGTCACGGCCTAGATACACGCGGGACCCACGTGAAGCCCTTCTGGTAACTGGTGAAGCCTGGCTTGGTTTCACCTTAGGTGTAAGGCTGGTCTCCGAGGCCGGGCCGCGTTTGTCTTTCTCTTCCTAAATGTCTTGGCCAGAGCCTTAGCAGAGTCCAGGCCAGCCTCGCCGTGTGGGGGCGGGTGGGCGTGATGGTGGTGGTGGTGGGGGGGGGAAGACACCTCTCGCCCTACGGGCCTTCCCCACGCTGGCTGGGGTTTCTGCCGTGTGGGAAAGCACGGTGTGTCCTGCGGCCCTTCTGGCCCTCTGCCGGGACCCGCCTGCCTCCACCTCCCTCTGTCCAGACGTGCCAGGGGCTGCAGACGCCCTGCACACGGATCCTGGGGAAAGTCTCTACAGGGGCAGCTGCAGGGCACACAGCCAGGCTTTGGCGCAAGCAGGGATGGGTGCTGCCACAGTGTTGATACAGTGACACGGCTGCTGCATTAATTCACCCCACTGGGGAATGGTGCAGGAGCCCCGCTCCATGCCGGGCTTGTCCTGGAAGGTCGGGACAGAGCACTTAATAAAGAGGGAGGCGTGACTCAAACGCAGGCCTTTCAGCTCCCGGATCCACAGATCCACGCAGGCTAGGGCGCATGGCAGGTGAGCTCACGTGGCACAGTGTCTGTGTGCAGATAGGTGTGTGTGTTGAGAGGGGAGGGCCAGGGAGGGCTGAGCTCCCACCCCACTCACCTTTTCCAGCTGCTCAATGCAGGGGGTGTGCACCACAATCTTGCAGGCTGCGCATTTTCTCCGGGACACTGACTTCTGCTGCAGGAAAGGAGGTGGGGCCCCTGAGGCACCAGGAAACTCCATCCAGGGTGCTGCCCCAGGACAGGCAGAGTAATCCATGCATCTGCCCCAGGTGCATCGGGGCCCTCTGTGTACACTGGGGATTCCTAGTCTCGCGCCTGGCCTCAGCATGCGGCGCCCACTCCTCTCAGGTCAGCCTGGTTCCCACCTCCCCCCAGGAAGAACCGCAGCAGTGGGCAGCGGGTTTCGGGCCACAGGCTGCAAGACGCGGCTCCACCACCAGGGGGCAGCATGCGGCAGCGTTCACTCACCAGCATCTTAGCTACACAATACTGCTCCCCAACATAGCAGAAGTCCCCGGACACGTTGGTCTCGAACCAGATGTGCTCCCCATACGTCGCTGATTCCTAGATGATGGGATGAGCGCGCTCAGCGCGCCACTGCTGCCCAGCCCCCTAGTGTGCCTGCCCGCCAGCCCTGCCTCTCCCTGGACAAACCTGCTCTACCACCGCAATCTCTACTGCTCTCCCCACTGGCCCTCCTCTTTGAATTGGCGCAAAGGCGGCTACCCCAGGAGGGCTGACCCCACAGGCCCATGGGCTCCTCGCACAGCTGTCCACGGAACCTCCAACCCCAGGTGTTACTGCCGCCCTGGCCCCAGCAGGGGCCAGCCGCGCTCTGCCCCCAGCACCCGGCCACTCACGCTCCAGTCCACGGTGCTCCGAATCTGCCGCTCTGGCTCGCTGCACGGGGCTCCAAGGGCGGGAGGAGGGGGTGCCAGGTGCTGGAGGCCCGACTTGGTGATGGCTTTCCTGCAGAAAAGGAGACGGCTGAGGCCAGCTGCACCCATGCTGACTGCTTCCTTCCCCTCACCTGGGATCTCTGCCCGCACTGTGACCACAACCCCGGGCCAAGGCAGGAAGCAGAAGGAAGAGCGGTGGCCCCGCCAGCAGCCCCAGGCGCTAGCGAACCCTTGAGGGAGACTCAGCTCTCCGAACAGCCCCGCTGGCCAGCGGTGTGCCGGCCGCAGGACACCACCCAGGGCTGTTCCCATGCGGAGCGCCCTCCTGCAGGCGGAGCCCAGAGGCCGGGTCCAGCCAACCCCTGGGAGGCGGCCACCGCCTGCGGCCGCAGCTATACCTACACAAGCAGGGCGCTCCAGGCCTGGGGTCCCGGCGACTTGCGCCGCAGCGCTACCTGACGCCTGCGGGACAGCAGGCGCATGCGGGCGGGCACGGCGGCGCCAGCTGCGGGGCCAGAGGCTCTTCGGCCCCCAGGGCCAGGGTGCGGGCTCAAGGGCCGCTGCTGGCTGAGGCGCCGGTAGCTGCCGCGCAGGCCCCAGAGGGTGGGGTCGTACACCACTTCTGCAGGGAGCAGGTGGGCGGAGGCTCGGCGGAGGCGCCGGCTAAGGCGCACAGGCAGCAGGGGGCGGGCTCCGTGGGGTGGGGGTGTCCCGGCTCTCTCCCGGCCTGGCTGGGCAGCCACACCCGGCACATCCTCCCCCCGGGGCCCCTTCTCCTCTTCCTCCTTCATGTCCACCAGCCCGGCCAGCAGCAGGGGTGCACTCAGAAGCTGGGCCCCCATACTGGCAGACTGTGTGGGGGACACTTCGTCTACGATGAACCGGGGGTTGCAGGCGGGCGGAATGGTGCTGGAGCGCCGGCGGCTGGAGCCCCGGCTCCCCATGCCGCAGCTCAGCAGGCAGCCCTGGAGCTGGGCGCTGGAGCGGCGCCGCTGGACCAGCGAGGAGGAGGCCTGCCCGGCCGGGGAGCGGCGCCGGGCCTTGCCCGTGGGCAGCCCCACGCCACTGGTCCTCCGCTGCCCCTCTCCAGGGCCTGGGCCCTTCCGCTGGAAGTGTCTCTTAAAGAAGGTATCCATGGCAGGGGCAGGCGGCTGGCTGTTGGGCAGAGAGACCAGGAGCATCAGAAGCAGGGTCAGGTCATGCCCCACCCTGTGTCCACTGAGCAGCAAAGGGTCCTTGGGAGCAAGGGCACGCGCCTCTGGCCACTGTTCAAGCATGTTCAAGGGTGGCAGGGCACTCCTGGGGGGCGGCACCCACACGTCCAGCTCTTAGAGGTACTGACGCTCTCCCCAGTTACACCGCGAGAGCCATGGGCAGGGGGGAGCGTCCACTACCCTGCCCGCGTTCCCTGTCCAGGCACCGTTACCCACAAAGTGCTGGCCTGAAGAACTTGCACTTGCTTGCCTGAAGCTGATGGAAAAGAAAATGAAGCTGGAAGCTGGAGGGTTCTGGATCCCAGCACGGAGCTGGGCCTAGACAGCCTGGGCCGGGGCACAAACTCACCCACGATAATAAAACGAGGCTCTCTGAAGAAAAGCTAAGGACACCCCCCACGCTCCTAGCCCAGAGGCTGCACCCGCAGACTCAGTAGGGGAGGCGGCAAGAGGCCTGGGCCGCGGGAGAGCCCTGGGGTGCTGGTGCACACCGAGGCTCAGGGCCGGCAGCAAAGCGGCTCCAGCACCAGATGCGTCCTGCTCCTTCCAGAGGGGTGGGGACACACGTCCCACGTGTGGAAGTCCTTGGTGAGGCCTGAAGCCCCCAAGCTCCACCAGCGAGGGGGCCTGTGCCTGAGCTCCGGGCCATCTTGGAAACCCCAGTGCTCACAGGTGACCCTCGCTCGGCCATGTGCTCTTGGCCTGTTCCGCCCCTGGGCTCTGCTTCCTTCACTCCTTCACCTGCTCCTGCTGCCCCTGCTGGGCAAGCTGGGGTCCTCTGGCCCTCCCCTATCCCTAGAGTGGGGGAAGAGCAGGAAGCCCCCGTGGCCCCAGGGGCCAGGAGGCCAGTGTCTACCAGGGCGCTCCTGGCCCTGGCGCTCACAGGCAGGTCCAAGCCCGGACACCGGCTTGGAGAACACTCCACTGTGGCTCTGGCAGGGACCAGGGTGGTGGGGCCAGACCAGGCTGCCTATGCCCCCCCCGGCCCCCCAAACTGCTGCCCTCTGGGCCCCGGCACAGTGTTGGGCTGGAGCCCTGATGGGTGTGGGGGACAGAGGGGGAGGGGAGGGTGGCCCTGGAGTCTGAGGGCCGTGACTGTGGGCGTCAGGCAGCGTGCCTGGGAAGCCGCGCTGCAGGCTCTCGGTCTCTGCCTGTGGCAGACCCGCCACGCCGGTGACGGGGAGAAGGGGCAGGGGTGAGTGCTGGGCCAGGGGAGCAGGTGTGGGCAGGGCTCTTGGCTCCCATTTAAAGTCACCATCACCGTGGCTGGCACAGACCGAGTGGCACAGGCCCACGCGTCTCAAGTGCTGGTGGCTGATCCCTTCGCAGACGTGTGGGTCATTTCAGAAGCCACAGCATCCTGAGGAACGGGCATTGCGTCACGCCACCTTCCCGAAGGGAAACTGAGCGGTCACCTGCCCGAAGTCCGCAGTTCGTCTGGGCACAGCCCATGCTGGAGCGAGGCAGGGCCTTAGCCGGAGACACGGTGGCTGGTGTGGGATGGGCGGGGAGGGAGCCCCGAGGGCCACCAGGGCTCACCCGCAGCCCTGGGCCCGGGCACTCCTCTCGTTCCCTGCGAGGCAGGCAGGACGGGAGGCTCCACTGGGAGATGAGGAAACCGAGGCTTGGGGGAGCACAGCCACGAGGCAGGGCCCCAGGCCGGGGGGAGACAGAACTGGGACCTGCACGCAGGTGAGCCCGGGTCGGCTCGAGCCCCAGGCCGCAGCCCGGAGACCCCGCTGCCCGTGGCTGCCAGGCCCTGGCCTGCCAGCCCTCCGCAGGGTGTCGGTTTTCTCCGCCCGTCTGGCCAGGCCGTCCTGTGACAGCTGCCCAGCCTGGAGGAGATTAGTCACCCGGACACACCGCCTGATGCTAGTGTCACCCAGAAAACAAAAGGCCACAGAGAGCGGGGGGAGGTGCAGCAGCAGCTCTGTGGGTGGCGGTGAGGGCTGGGCCCTGCCTGCTGCCCCAGGCCCACACTGGCAAGAGGGGCCAGGGAAAGGCCACTGCTGGGCCCTCTTAGGACACGGGACCCCTGAGGGCGCCCCGCAGTGCCTGGGGCCCAACCCTGTTGGGTAGCCCCAAATAAACATCTGCCCAGGAGTCTCCTCGGTTGTGGGAGGGGCAGTCATTTTGAGGGGGACCAAGGAAGGCTGGGGCCATGTGCAAAGCAGTCCCCTCACAGTCCTGCTGTTTGCCCAACGAGTTTACATGCCCGGCTGCTGTGACATTTTGCAACACGCCTCCTGCCAGGCGCCCGTGCCTCCACGCTCCCCATGTCCCTCCCGCCAGCCCCCATGCTTCCTGTTCCCTTGGTCTCCATAGAAACCTCTGTCCTCTGGTCAGCAACTGCCCGACTTCTGACTTCCTATCTCTGTGGAGGTTTCTTCTAGGTCTGGCCAAAGCCCAGGCTGGCTCAGGCCTGTTGCAGCCTTTCCTCTGCCTGGGCCTGGGGCTTTTGCCCACAGCACAGATCTGCACGGCAGCTTCTTCTCACCTCATGCGCTTTCACCTTCAACACACCACACAGTCTGTGCATCTAAAGGTCACCGAGGAGGCCCACAGGTTCCGACAGCAAGAGCATAGCAAAACGGCTGTTCCTCAGCCCGCTGGAGGTGGGGGCGGGGGGAGGGGCCTGGGGAAAGGCTGTCCCACCCAAAGGGGACAGCATGGGAACAAATCCAGGGGCTCCAGCCAACCCCGCTGACTGCCAGGCCTGGGGAGGCCCAAGGGTGTCACGGCAGAGAAGTGCCTGGAGGGGCCTGTCCACACACCTGGGTGACAGCAGCAACCATGGAGCTGCCAGAGGGGGTGAGCGGGCATGTGGACGTCTGCTGGAAGGACAGAGGACAGGAGTCCTCCCGGCCCACACGCCACACCAGGGATGTTTTCAAAAGGGACAGACCACGGGCTCTGGCACGCGGCGGCTGCATTCGCCTCTCTGAGTGCGTCAAGGCACCTTTCTGAGCCTCAGTTTTCTCATCTACAAAATGGGGGTAGGCCACCCAGTGCCGAAGGCTCTGATGAGATGATGGCTAGAAGTGCCCGATGGACCTGGCAGAGGAGGGGCGTGGCAGGCCCAAAGCCAAAGCAGCACCAGGACGTGCGGCTCATGCCACCTCCTGGAGTTTGTCTCTGCCCATGGCAGGGGGGTGGGGACCCAGAAAGGGAAGCAGGAGCACCTTGGGTGGTCAGCACCCCACCACATGAGGAACAGAGCCCTGCAGCAGGAGCCACCTGGTGTCTGCTCACCCTGTGAGGAATGCCCTCTGCCCTCCAGGCACCCCCTTCTTCAGAAGGGCTCACACAGGACACCCCGCGCTGGGCTGCAGTGCCCACCCCTCGCTATGCGTGAGGCCCCGCCGCCTGCCCGCGGCTGGAATTGCTTCACATGGCCCCGCTTCTAGCAGTCCCAGCGCAAGGGCCTGGAGCTGCCTCCCCAGGGTGCTGCTCCGCTCCCACAGCCCCAGGGTCAGAGGAGAGAGGCAGGGACAGCTGGGAGGGAGGGCTGCCTGGGGGCTGCTGATGCCTCTGCGCACTAGTGGAATCTTACCCAGAACAAAACAAACACAAATGCAGAGCGGGAATGGGGTGCAGGGGCTGCCCCCTGGCTTAGGAGCGGGTCTCCCGCCTTCAGGTTCCTTTCCATCAGCCTCAGCAGCCTGCAGGGCAGGACCTTGCTCTGGGGAGCGTGCTGGATCCGCCCTGACCCACACTCCCCAGACCCCGCCAGTGAGAAAGCAGGGAGGAAGCAGGAGGTAAGGAAGGGTTAGGGGAGCCCCCTTTTGACCTGATCTGGAAGGTAGGTGAGCAGGTGGGGCTGGGTCCCCTTGGGTAGACGAGCGCCCCGCTGGCTCCGGGTCCAGCTCCTGGCCGCGGGCTGGAGGCCCAGCAAGTCCTAGTTTGGTGAGCGAGCTGCTGAGGCTGCTCCTTGCCCCCTCCTCCTCCCACCCTCCTCCCCCAGCCTGAGACAGCCGTTATGAAAATAACCCAATTGGTAACCGACTGCACTTCCTCTCCCAGCAGCACTCGGCTGGGGGCCTGCAGGCGCAGGCCAGGGCGCCGGTGGGCAGCACTCACGACCTCACGCACCGGCTTTCCCCCCTGGCTTCTCTCCCCAAAGTGCCCAGGGCCAGGCTGAGCCCTGGAGCGTCCCTCTGCTCCGTGCCTGTCACAGCACAGCTCCGGCCTGACTCCCCAGCATGTCTGGGGGTGGGGGTGGGGGGGAGAAGGGAGAAGCTTCTTTCTTGGTGCTATCTGACACCCTCTGGCACCCACAGGGCAGGCTTCTGGGGTTCAGGGACAGCCTCTGCAACAGCTAAACACTGGCTCCAGACAAAACTGCCAGGAAAGTAAGTATTTGCAGAGAGCTTCACAACACAAAGCACTTTTTCACAAGCGTGACAAAGGGGGGAGCCTTGTAACTGCCCTGCACAGCGGTGTGGCCAGTGGGCAGCGGCGGGCCACGGGGAGGCTGGCACCTGGGGCCCACAGCTCAGAGGTGGTGCAGCGGGACTCTCAGGCCAGGTCTCCGGGCTCGGCGGCCAAGAAAGGACGGCTGAGTCACAGTCACCACCACAGCGCACGGGCGCTCACCCTGTCCCCTTGGGTCTCAAGCGGCAGCTCCCCGAGTCCCAACCTCAGGACCCCTTTTCGGTCTTCATATTACTGAAGACTCATGGAGATTATAGCTGTTAATATCTGCCATACTAGAAATTAACAGGAGCAATGTTAAAAAATGTTTATTCATGCTTTTAAAAGCCGTAAGCCCGCTACATGTGAAAATCAAAACTTTATGGGGCGGGGGGGGGAATGTCCTTATTTAAAGTGCAAAGACCGGCGAGTGGCCAATCTCAACTGGCTGAGCTCTTTCCTTCTGGCTTAAGAGAAGATGGCTGGACTCGCCCACCTGCCTCTTCATGGCGCTGTTGCAAGAA